CCAGCACTTCTCCCCGTGGTAGATTTCTTTTTTTCTCGGCTTACTGCCTTTCCTTGATTTTCTTCTAACCAAGGTGAAACATACATTTAGCTCGAAAGTATTCTATCACCAACCCGCCAGCTCGAAATCATGGTTGACGGCAGCGACCTCCAATTGTCAAAGTTCTACTTTGCCATTATCCAGATCCTCCGTCTTGCCGCTGACTGGATCCAAGAGAGCATGGACGACCTTTGCCAGACAGTCAAAGACATAGAGCGGCTTTACCTTCCTCGAACTGCCGACCAAATCGCCACCTTTTTCCCCGCTGAATCTGACGGCGACACCCGAGATGCGGCTATCGAGGTGTTCAAGCAAAACTGGGAGACCGTAATCTTGCATCAGCAACGTGTTGGGACTGCTCTGCTATACCGTATCGCGATGAAACAGGAGGAGTGCAAGAGTCTTAGGGACGGTGTAAGGCTTACTACTGACGGTATCCCCATGAGCTTGTGCTAATCGAGCTGGCAATTGCCTACGGGAATAGTTGTTTAACGCAACATCCGTCAACGAAGCGACAAAATCCACACAGCTAAACCACTACATCTTAGTCTTCGCTATGGTCACGATATTCTATTTGCCTCTAAGTTTCATCACGGTATGTCCTGGCAGGCCGCCCTCAAGATGCTGGGTTTCCCTCTGGCAATAATAACAGTAGCTAACTAAGGGTATGTACATATGTGCCAAGGCCTTGTTTGCGCTAGAGCTGTTTGACTGGAAAGATCCGAAGCAAGTGATATGGTTCGCTGTCACAATTATACTTGTAGCGGGGGCTACCTACTTGTTCTCGTGGCTCTCGATATGGGTTGTGCAGGGCCCTGCTGAGAGGGGAACTTTCGCAGAGGCTTATGCCAGGCTCGATCGCAGACTCGTACTAAATTGGATTCTACTCAAGCTCCCCGGCGGATGGAAAAGGGATGGGACCGGGGCCGCAGCGCTCAGATATTGAGCAAGCCGCACCTGAAGATTACGCTCCCTGTTAGATGCCACTCTCTTTTGTGTGTGAGAAGTGTGCTGTCGCCATCTCTTTTGTCCAGTTGCTGCTTCTATAATACAATGCATTTATTCACATGCCCCCTGTAAGCTGGCCTCTTCAGTGTAACAGAACACAAGGACGTGATTCTGATGTTGTTCTTGCTGCTTGAAGATCTTAGGCGGTTGAGACAAAGAATATACAGCAAAGAAACCTGTACCATGCTTAAACTACCTAGGTACTCGACCTGGTCTCTGTTCTCAGCCCTCATTTCTGGGGCTGCTCCAATCCCCCGTCTATAGAATTGTACATAGGGTGTTTTTCGAAGCTTGCATTATTACCCTTCCCGCTGAAGTCCTCCGCATACTACTGAGGTTTGTTCCCGAGCGCTTCACCTCCTGGGCCAGCAGCAGCTGTTTCCCTTCAACACCTTTAGCCCCAAAGTACTTCAACACTGCCTTGGCACCTTTCTCATCGTTTCCAAACGGGAATGCAGTTGCAGGACCGGGGCCAATATGGAAGTACTTTTGCCGTAGTTCTTCATTCAGCCCCTTGTGATGGTCCCGCGCCGCTGGGCTAAGCTTGTTCCACATGCTTGTGACAAAGGCAACTTGCTTGGCGAATCCGTCGCCGCATATCTGCTTGAATATGTCGAGGCTGGATCTGGCGGAGCCTGTGAATCTGCCGTCTGTGATGCGGTGGAAGAAGATGGCCCCGCTGACGGACAGTCCCAACTTTTCCAATGTTTGGGTGACGTCCTTGAGGATGCTGAGGTTTCCTGCTGGTAAATCATCCAGCCCCGGTGTGTCGATTATTCGAAAAGCGTTGCCGCCTACGTTAGCTTGGTACTCGCGGCACCTGGTCGTGGCTTGAATCGGATGTCAGTGGCAGTGGCCAAGATACACGATAATTATCGGAGGTTGGGAAACGTGCGACATACGAGCGACATCCATAGTGCTGCCGGTGACGCACTTGACAAAGGAGGTCTTGCCAGACCCGTGAGGGCCAATGAGGAGGATGACGATTTCTGCCGCCATGATGACTGCCCGGGAAGGTGATGAGCTATGCCGCCGGAAAACGAGATGGAGGGCTTTGAGCGATGGGCCATTCAGGGACCGTTAGTTGGAGCTTTTCAGTACGAGAGGGAATATGCCTGACTTGTACTCGTGCCTAACGCCGGGTTGCGAGGTCGGGACACGATGCACTCTCATGCGCCACTTCATTGGCAGGGTATCCCGCTCGTGCCATGTGCTACTGGCAGCTTCCGCCCTGCGGAAAGCGCGCTGCACCTTCCAAACTTGTGTCAGTCTTGCGTTGGGCGCGCGTGGCCGAAGCTCGCCCAACCGGAACCCAGGCTCGCCAAAGTGCGGTTGCAGAATGCCCAACGGCGCGGCCCTACTCACTCATCTCGATCTGTATGGTCAGGGGAACTTCGGACACGACATATATCAAATCCCCGTCATCATGCCTCAGATCGGAACCCCATGCTTTTGTTAGCACGAACATCGAACGACAACAACACACATGGCGACAACACCAACGACAAGCGAGTACCAATTTTTTCAATCATGATTTCACGGTGTTAGCACCGTCATGGTCTCCCAATCTAACCCATCATTTTCTTTTTCGCTTCTCCATGCACAAACGACGATGATGCAGCCGAAGGATAAGGACCCCCAGATTACCATCTTACTGCTAGGTGTGACGGGCGCAGGCAAGTCGACATTTGCAGCCATGGCCTCGGGTCAGAACGTGAAAGTCGGACACGGCGTAGACCCCTGCACACAGGACCCTCTGGCCGTCAGCTTCGATATGGATAATCAGAAAGTTGTCCTGATCGACACGCCTGGGTTCGACGATAGTGTACGGAGCGACGTGGAGATCCTAAAGGACATCGCGAAATGGCTAATGAAGGAGGGTCTCATCAAAAACCACCCTCTCGACGGCCTCATCCTCCTCCACCCCGCTACCCACACCGTCGTCCGTGGTAATGAGCGGAAACGTGCACGCCTGCTCGAGAAGATTCTAGGCGATGATGCTTACAACCGTGTGGTCATCGCAACTACCATGTGGGAGAACCTTTGGCCTGAGGACTCCGCAAGGAGCCCCAGCGGCCATGATCAAGGGCTCGAAGGGAGCGTGTGGAGCAAGTTTTGCGAAAAGGGCGCCAAGGTCACCAAGCATAACAACACAAAAGACTCGGCACACCGCATCATACGGCTCATCGCTCCCAAGCCGAGGCCAACAGCAACGAAAACAACAACAAGAGAGAGAGAATGGCACATGCCCCAGCTGCAAGATTTCAGGCTACTACCGAACCACAGCCGGCGCGTTACCGAGACTCCCCTCTCCAGGGAACTCAGGGCGCAGCTAGAAGAAGGGATTGACTTCACATATGAACAGCTCCTCCAAAGCAGGGCAGAACGCCCCCCAACAGACTACAAGAAGTCCGGGGACCCTGAGCGTCGACAGAAGTACAAAGACTGGGAGGAGGATAATCGGGAGCTGGAAAGAAGCCTTGCGGCGCAACAAAAACTGCTGAATAGGATGGATACCCTTGTTGTAAGCGCCCAACATCCATCCAACTGTTCGCAGGCAGAACAAATGCTAACTTCTCCGGCTTAAAGTATAAGGTGATAAGTGCTTTCGGCAGGCTGTTTAGCTAACTCGGTCGGATAAGAGACTGGAGGTCGGCCGACGGTGTGAAACCTATTTTTCTCAGGCTCCCAGGGGTAACTATGTAGCAACCATTCGCCACGGTCTCTCTTGGCCTTGATCTTCGAGTCATGGAAGGGTGGCCAGACTCTCGTGGCTTCATGATTGCTACCAGAAAAACATAATCCCGTTTTAGATCCATATAAAACATGTCCCTACTAGGTAAGTACCTAAGGTACCTAGTGATAAGTAGAAGATTGCCGCTTTAGCCCCACAGTCTTGTAAAGAAAGCCCCCAAAGCACCAGTTACCTGGCTCCATCCTCCCTCAATGCTTTCAATCTTGAAGGCGATATAAACCAGAGCCACTGTGATGACCTCCGACACCGGAGCTAGACAAGACATATTAGCACCCTTTTCACATTTCTTACTGAGTGATACGGAGCTATACACATAATCCGTAACACAAAGCCAAGGCCAAGGCTCCCATCTAGACGTGTGCCTCACGGCTAGCTCTTTGTCGAGCAGCCCATTGGCAGAGAGAGGGTCGAGTTGGAGTTATCGGGCAGCCCATTAGTAGAGGATGGGGCTAAGATTCGGTCAGATCTCCGAAATAGCATGTCTCACCGTAGCATATGTCATCCTCTTGCTTGCGTGTCATTGGCTTTGGTGGTCCGCCAGTCTCGCCGCTTCCGGCGGGCACCCGATGCGATTCAAATCCGGGTAATCTTACGCTGTGCCGCCTTCCTTTCAGTGTTCATCCTAACTCCCATCATGGACCTCATGGCTCACGTATTCACGTATCGCAGAGGTTGTGAAACACGGACCCATACCGCCAGCCACGTGCGAATCCAAATAGGGGTCCACGGTGGTATCCGCAGGCCCGGTGATGCAGAATATGGGAAAGAACAGCCCTACAATCTCCGTGACTCGGAACACCGCCGGCAACATTGTGAATAGCGATGAATGCTGGCAAAACCGCGGAACTGCAGCTCGTTCACTCCCACTGCAATGGCCTCCCCGGCGGCACCATGGTCCTGCATGCCAACTGCCCCGCTGGGCGCTGCTCGTACCAGATCGACTTTACCGTCGAGCAGGGCCACGTCGCCATTTCCGAGGGCGACGCGGTGGACCGTTCAGAGTGCGGCGCATGAAGTCTCTTACGGGGTGTGCATTTTTGGGCGGCATCGCGTTGGTATTGCACTTAGACAGACAGGCGTAAGCAGTTGAGGTCTTTGCCACACAGCTTGGTCCAGTGTGATTGTGTAACGGTCGACGGATGGGTGACATGGATCATGACAAGCGACAAAAGGAGTATCTCCAAAAAGAAGATGTGTTTGCGCCAGCCGCGAATCGAACGCGGGGCCCATCGAGCTTGTCGGATTCCGAATGGCAACGATGGATTTTACCACTAAACCACTGGCGCTTTAATCTCATTGGATGATTTGGAAGCCCAAATTACTTGCTCATGACGACGCAAGTGCAACCCCCCCTGACCATTTACATGGATTGTGAGACAAACTTGTACACTAGTTGTATTCTGGCGGGCATTCCTATTATTGTACTGTACATGTAGCTGTATCATATCCCCATAAAGATAAAAGAAAACTAAAAAGATTGGTAGGTAAACTCCGCAGAACACCGTCAGTGGTCACCCACCCCCCTTACACCCCCTTAACCTTGCCACCAACAGCCCTATGCTCCAGCATCTTCTTCTCAACCGTATCCAGCCCCGACAACTTCCTCATCTTCCCATCCAAAAACCCCACCGGCAAAAAATTCGCCAACCTCACCAATGCCGCAAACTTCCCCCTCCAAATCCAGTACGGCGGCTCCGCCCTGCCCAAATCCGCGACAACCGCAGCCGCCCACTCCGCCGGATCGTTCCCATCCTGGATATCCCCACCAGCCATAACGGCCTCGACCTCAGCCTTCACAGGCCCAAACACCGACGTCGCCGGAATCTCCGCCTTGGCCACGCGATTCCCCGCGAAGCCCGACTTGACCGACCCCGTCTGCAGATTCACCACGCGCACTCCTAGCGCCGCTAGCTCGATGCGCAGCGCCTCCGTCAGACTGGCCGCGGCGGCCTTACTCGCGCTGTAGGCGCCGGTATACGGCACGGTAGCCCCGATCTGGGAGCTCAGGGAGGTATTGTTCACCAACAGGGCGCGGGGGGCGGCGCGCAGCAGCGGGAGGAAGGCGCGCGTGACGGCGACGAGCGACCAGACGTTGATCTCAAACACGGCACGGGCGGTGGCGAGGTCGAGGTCGAGCACGGGCATCGAGTAGCCCTGGCCGGCGTTGTTGACGAGGGCATCGAGGGACCCGCCAGTGAGCTGGGCGGCGGTGGCGGCGGCGGCGGCGATGGAGGTGTCGGAGAGGACGTCGAGGGCAATTGTTTCGATGCCGGCCTGCTGCACGGCGGAGAGCTTGGACAGGTTGCGGCCGGACGCGAAGACGCGCCAGCCGGCGTGGTGGAAGGCCAGGGCTAGGTGCGAGCCCAGCCCGCCGTCGGAGCAGCCCGTGATGAGCACTGTCTTTTTGGGGGCGGCCATGGTGAGGGCTTCAGTTCAATGGCTTTCGGCGGTTCAGGTTGGAAGATAAATTGGCAGGTGCGCTGGTGTGGTTGAGCTGATGCAACTTCCCAAAACCACTGTCGCGTCTTCCCGGAGAAGTATATACCCGTATGGACTTGCCACTCTTGAGGCTAGCACGGTGCAAACAGGAGAGTGGCCGCAGAGTGTCCGCGGGCCCCGGATGTGGTAATCAAGGCAATGAGCGGCAATGGGCAATCGGTCGGTTGATCGTCCGCTGGGACCCCCATTGGCCAATCCACACCATCTTTGGTTTTGAGCTGACCGGGCTGCACACGGCCTGTACATTGCCCCGTTGGCCGATTCGGCACGGGAGGACATTCCGGAGACTAACACAGTAACCCTTTGCTCATCAAGTGCTTAACCACGATACTCTACCCACTACACATCGCCATGCTATATTAGCACAAAAGAATATTCTAGTTGTCCAGCCCAGGCCGACAGCAACTTGCCAAACGCCAACTCAGACAACTTGAAGCCAATCCAAACCAAAATACACATTCCATTGCCGGGCATTCGCCACACTCTGTACCGCTCTCACCCGTCTTATGTTGTCGGCATCTAGATCGCCCCAAGACGTGGCTCGGTTGCTGCCTCCAGGCAAGCCAAAGAATCTGGTGGTCGGAGGCAAAGCTTTAGAGCAGGCGAGGAAGGGCAAGCATGTCGAGACGTTAAATGACAGTGGTTGTGGAGATGGGAGATGGAGGCGACGGGGTCTAGCTTGTTATTCGGGCATTCTTGCCACTTGGTTTATGGCGCACAGCGATGGGAGTGGCCGGGTAAGGATATGCTAGCTAGAGCGAAGGGTGAACGACGGTATGATTAACGTGTTGCGTGATTTGTGAGGATCTTTTCCTTTGGTTAGCTGCGTGACAAGACTGCAAGTAGGACTCTGAGCCTTCCCTCCTCATCTCGTATATCTTGCTGTTGACTACCCTGATCCTCTCTCGACCGTAGTAGCTTAACCTGTCACAGCTGAGGACAGGCGGTTCTCGACCACCATCAGCTCTCCCAGCAAGATTGAAGGGCCCGGACATCGGGCATGTCAAGCTGGCTCAAGAGCACTGCCTCACCATCAGTCTACAGTCTGAGCAGTGTGTGAAGCCATGTTGGGGGGGGGGATGATTAGCAATGTCCTCGCCACCTACGAGACAGCAGTTCTCGGCCACCACCGGCTCTCGCAGCGAGATTGAATTCAGTCCACTCAGTAGCCCCCATCTCGCCATGAGTCCAAGCAGCGAGTGCAGCCATGGAACAGCTATAAATATACATGGAGAGACAACTCTGGCAGAGAGACGGGCATAAAGATGTCCACGAAGGATACCGGGTGCTCACTCATCAGTGTTAAACTGAAGCCTAGTTTTCATCCTCGTCATCCTCGTCATCCTCGTCATCCTCATCCTCGTTATCCCCATCCTCATCATCCTCGTCATCTCCTAGGTTAAGAGAGCGTTAAATGAGTTGGAAAGGTGTCGTGAATTTGTGAAGTTATCCACAAATGGATCTTCCACTCCAGCAACTGACTTCCCCCCACCCCTTGGACTCAGGCTCACCACGTCGCTGAACAACTTAGCTCGTCTAGATGGGTTATTGCTGCCCTCATCATCACCATCATCGCTCGAAACACCCAACAACTCCGTCGCTTCCTGATAGGCCATATGCCCTGCCCTTCTGGCTAGTACCACCAACGCTGACTTGCGGAGGTACTCCCCTGGTGTCGCCCAGACATCCTGTATGCCAGGTGGTACATATCTCCACCACCCGGTGCACTCGAAACGCTGCCGCCTGAGTATGGTGACAACATGGGCAAAGTACAAATATTGTTTTGCAGGCCGGAAGTCGTTTGGGAATGTCAACACCTTGCCATGTACTTGTTGCAGGATGACATCGTCAATAGCCGGGTCCAGGAGAGCTACCTTCCACTCGCCAGGGGTTTCCCCAGGAATGATGGTGATCTCCCCGTTGTCGAAAGCATTCTCCCAATGTCGCATCATTGGGAGGCCATTCTGTGGACACATGGTATGGCCATCCTTGTGTGTGGTCTCGCCGAAAAGGTATACCGCGTTGTTCTCTCCAATATTGTAGGGGACAATATGGGCAGCGACAACATCTTTCGCCTGAATGAACCCGCCTGTGATACAACAGAAAACAGATGATCCGTTCTTGTTGTTTGCACTATATGCCTTGATGACACTTGCCCTAAACCGATCTTGAGCCTTAGGATCTCGTGGTCGAAAGATGTCAAGTGTTGCGTTGGTAGGTGTCCGGTATCGGGACACGAGCATGTCAACGTATGACCAATCTTTGTTGAAAACTGCGGCTTCTGCATCCTCAAGTGCCATCTTGTCTGTCATCTCTCCAGCAAGCTGGAGTGTCTGGCACCGTCTGACAACAAGTTTGGCCCGCAAGTCGCGAGCCCTCTTTTCCAATGTCATTATCTCTTTGTCCTTTATGGCATTGGTGATATCCAGGGCTCCCTTGTTGTACTCGTCCATCAAAACCTTGATTGATGCTTCAACAACCTCCAGCTCTGCCTCAATGACATCGGTGCCAGCATTGATATTCTCCTTGGCAGCTTGGAAGACCGCTGCCTCAAATTCGTCATCTCCGTCATCCGAACCAGCCTTCATGGTCTTTGCATTTCGGATGCTCTCATTGCTGGCAGCTGAGACCATGGAAAAGTTGCGCTTCGTCGCGCTTGCATGACCGACGAGAGGCTCGATACGTCCTCCGTAGACGGCTTGATCAAGCTTATTACGGATGAGCGGCGAGAAGGTGGGTGTCTTTTGGTCTTCGATGGGCGAGGTGGTGCTCATTGGTGGCGCTGTTGGGAGAATTGGCCGTGCCGCTGAGGTTGAATCACCTTTCGGTGTCTTGGGTGTGCCCAGTGTCTTGCGCGGCATTTTGCTGGTTGGCGTGTGACGGTATTTGTTATGAATGAGGGGATGTGAGAGACGGATTGATTGTGGGGGTGGAGTGGGAAGATGTAGGCGAAGCACAGCAGAATGAAAAGTAGTAGTGGATTATTGTGTTGCAGGATGGATCTGGCTAATCTAGGTGTATGCCATCACAGGCCATGGCACAGGCCAAGTGGGGTGCGGCTGCCCTCAAGGTAGGGTTAACCCACAACAGAAGAGGCATAAATCGGGGCATGTCAACAACATTGACATGGTTCGCTCCTGAGAACCTTCTATCTGCATTGTCTTGGTCTTACGGGTGGAAGGACTTTCAAGGTAAAATCTAAAATACAGAGTTGTTGAGAACGCCCGCTGACGCAACGACCCGAAGTCAATCAGGACCACTCCATCCTGAGTGTCTCATCTTCCGCCTCTCTATAATCGCTGCCAGCAAAAAGCACCCACGACAAATCTATCTTAAAATTCTAGAGGCCCACAACCCCAGTACCATAGTAACGGGTGGGGAAGAAGCAGCAAAGTAAAATTTCTTCGCTCCTATCTCCCGAGCCATGATAGTGTCGACGGGCCCAAAAGATGCCAAAATCTCTCCTCAATTTGAGACTGCCTCCAAGCCCTCTTTGGCTAGCTAGCAATGAAGTACAGAGCTCTCTAAGCCAGTGAGGTAGCACTCATTCACACCTCACTTCAATCTCCAGGTTATTTCCGTGGGCCTCCATCTAACCACCCTTATCATGAATCCGTCTCCTGGTTTCGAGACATAGTCTCGTCCAAGGTGAAGATCATCGTTGGGTACATTGACTGCGGGCCTCGGCCAGGTGTGATGCCTCGCCGCGCAGGGGGCTTGCCCCAGCCGACCTGAGACCAGTAATTAGTTGGGTCGGTGACGACCAGCGAATCCCTGGTGTTGTATG